CGGACCGAAATGTCTTATCTCACTTTTACCTTCTTTTCTCATACTGTTCTTTCCTCCATTCTCATCAATTTCCTTTAAAAAAAAAACCCAATTCTCACCCCTCTCATTCAACATCTCACTATACACATGCAATTTTTGGTCATTCCCCTATCAACAATTCGACTTAATCACGTTTAACATGCTTCATTTTATTTCATGCTGTATTCTATCGCGCCTTTGCCATTTAGGCTTCCAAGGTCAATCTGGTTACTACAATCGGTTTATTTTAACACCAAAACTGTTGAATGGAAAAACCGAAGAAATAAAAATCCCTTGAAATTGACCCGAAAAAAGGGGCAATTAAATGACCCTCAGTGAGAAGCTGACCCAAAAAGAGGCAACTTCAATCGGTAACAACCAAAATACCTTATATATGCTCGTACTGGCATACGATAGCTCTCGTCCACTGAGCTAAATGTCGTGTCGACCGTAAGCAGAATAACTGGTGGCGGTTCCTTCTTTGCCGACGATTCGCTGATCAAACGATTGTAGTAATCATGATATGGCAGACAATGCGACGATAGGTCAGCATTCGTATAAAACCTGTAAAAAAATCAAAGCTCACTTTTTGATGTTTTACTTTCCAAATATGTCCACCCCCCCCCTTGCTATACAAAAAAATGACCTCCTTAAAATTTCAGCTTCCCAGCTTTCCTGGTTCCCAAGTTAGCTATTTTCCCGCCAGAGACCGTCACGGAACCGTACGTGGGAACTACGCATACCAAGGGGTTGAATTTGAAATCTCCATCTGTTTCGAAATGATAAAAAAGTGGCTGTCTTTAAATACTCACATTACCGTATAGGTGATTTTGCATCAACCTCCTCCCCCTCCCTTTGTCCACACCCCGCAAGGCGGAAAAATTCGAAGGTGGACCTAAGCGGTAACACGTGCCAATAGCAACCATCCGCGGGAAAGGCTACCCATGGCTCCTCTTTCCAAAAATGCACAGAAGCAAGCAATTTTAACAACTTGGCATGTATCGGTACCAATTTACCACCGAAACGAATGAACGTATCGTAGAGAGACTGGTGTTCCGTAGAAGGAATCGAACCCTCAAGCTCCAACATGAGCTACTTGTTACAGCATAGAACCCGCCACTATGTGTACAACGGGTGGATATAAAAGCCATGCCGATTGTAACAATCAGGTTGACTCTGGAAGCCTAAATGTTGGAAGCGCAATAGGTTATAGCTTGAAAGAACAGTATGAGAAAAGAAGGTAAGAATGAGATAAGACGTTTCGGTCCATTAAGTCATATACTTCTCGACTCAACAGCGTGCGACGCGGGACCTCGTCAGTATGACGGTCGCAGTACTAAATGGAAAAGGAAAGAGAAAGAATGCTTCGGTTTTTATGGATATCAGATCAACGGTGTGTTATTTATCGATGAGTAGAGTAATAGTGGTACCATCCGACAGGCTGTTCGGATGGCGTAGCGCGTTTCATCATCATCAGCATTGTTTGATTGAAACCATCGTCCAGCTCCGGAGTGTCTTCCTTCTGCTCACTGAACGGAATCGCGTAACAGTTTGTCACCTGAACATACAAAAATATGATAAAAATAAAATGATTAAAATTGATAAAATAAGTAAAACTGAATAAAATAAATTAATAAAAATTGGTAAATAAAGTAAATAAATTAAGTTGTATACATTTATTACCATTACCACAACTG